TCTTCCCTTTTATCGACAGGCATTTACGTCCTTTTAATAACCTCAGTCGATTCGAAGCAAGCTTTACGGAGCACAGATAACTGTACTCGGTGAGCTGAAAATCCAGTCTCTGAGTCCGCACAAATTTCACTCATTGAGTTTTTTCGGTTTATATATATGCATAGAAATCTTAGGTGAATATAAGTGTTGTTGGTACAGCGTATTTTTCCCGGCTACCGTCCGCATATGACTTTCCTCCATGCTTCGCCGTTGGAGTCATTTGTGTGAAGAGAAATGTGTTAACCATGTGACGTCATATGCATATTTAATTAAGAAGCCGTTGAACGGACTTTCTGCGGCAATTTGGCCATTAGTCCAGTCAAATTGTGGTTTAGCATCAAACTAATTGCAACAGAATTTTTTTCAACGCCATTTAATTGTTGGATGGCTATTTAACAACATACTAAAAATCCGCCAAAATCTGCTCGGTGAAACATGGGAAAAATTGGCAATAAAGATTTTCAACTTTCAACCCAGGGGACCCAATTTCAGGAAAATCACAAATTCAGACAAAACATCTGATAATTGTTGTTGTTTTTCTTTCTCAAGAATTTTCGATGCAACATTGCTAATGCATTTTGGGTAGTTTTGTTTTAAAAAACGCGGACTTAATGCGTTTGAAACACCTGGGTGAGTGTTTCGTCTTGAGGGCTTTGCACAGGTTACACAGCCACTCGTCTGTCTTCACATTCTGTTTTCCAAGCTTTAATTTTTTTCTGTGACGGTATTCAAAAGGGAAATTATTAGTCAGTCTGTGTTAACATGGTTGAAAATATTAGTAATTGTTTTTTTGCGCAATATCAGAAATGCAGTAAGCTAGTTTTTATGTTGACTTCTTTGAAGATAGTTTTTGAAAGAAAAAAATTTTGCGGGGAGAACTCTATTTTGGCTGTAACGTTATTCAAAAATCCAGTTCTGATATATATTCTTCTTACCCTTACGCCTAACAGAAATCTGATTAAGAAAGGATACATTTTAAAAGCTAATGATTAAGTAATTAACGGCTTTCATTTTTCAGATTTAAAGCCTTACGACTAAATTTGCTGTAGTTTTACAGCCAACAGTTCACTCTATTACCCTGTAAGCTTCCTGTTATTTTGGGGCTCCATGAGTGAAACATGGGCTTCCTGTGCACAAGCCAACCGTGTTGAATATTTATCCTTTTTGAAAAAAAGAGACACTTCGTTTTTATCACCGAAAACTAGGTAACAGTTATTTTTTCTTCTTCCACTTTTCCATAAAAGTAACAAACACATTTTGTGCATTTTTGGTTTGAACTTATGATTTCAACTACAGTAGGTTCCCTGTGTTAAAAGCTCAAAATGTTTAATGCTTAATTTTGACATGTTCCACCGAACGGATTTTGGCGGATTTTTAGTATGTTGCTAGATAGGCACCCTTACTTAAATAGCGTTGAAAACAATTCTGTTGCAATTAGTTTGATGTTGAGCCTCAAAAATACCTACATTGACTGGACTACATCTTCGCGTTGGAAAAAATATCGATGAGATCATTTTTATAGGCTCCTGGTCAAAGCCATTTTTCCCGGTTAATTAGACATCAAACTAATAATTATTGCTACTTTTTGCTAGACTGATTTTTCTTTTCAGTAGCACTTTAAGTCTTCCGCTTTTTATCGACTCAGTGGGCTTACATAAGAGTCTTTTGAGTAACAGTGAATCTTTAATAACATATGACCAATTTACAGTCCACTATCATAAAGTAAAATTTTGATGAAATAAAAATAATAAAAGATCCTAAAATACTAATTTACAAGCTTACGCCATTATCGACTTCATTCAAAAATTAGCGGACACACGCTTGGCTAGCGTTTAAGCGGCAGACATCATATGACCAATTTATATTCCACTATCATAGTCTAAATTTAGATGAAGTAAAAAAAAAAGTGACAAGTTAATTGTTTGTCTCTTCCATTCAATAAATGATATGGCTTTGTCATCAGTGAGTCAGCGAAAACACAATGGCCAAAACGGAATAAAAACAAAATTCCAAGAGTATTTTTGTCTGGAAACTCCATTAAAAAAAGTAGTGGACAGCTAACAGTCAGGGAAGTTCAGCTCAGTTCTTCGTCTATTCGCGCTAAGTCCGGCAGCCGGTTAAATCCTTCAATACAGAGCAGGTAAGGACGAGAACTCTATATAAAGACCTTTTTTATGAAGATGTATGTCTCGTAGTCTATGATCTGACTTGTCTTAGTAAACTTTTAAGAGTTACTACTGACTGAGGAATTTATTCGTATTGGATTATTGAAGTCTACTTTCCAACTTGAGTAATGGATGATGGGTCGTTGTATCCCTTACCTTTATAATTAATAGCCTGATTTCAGTGTGATTTCACTTAACTTGGTTGTGAAATAGATAGCAGGCGCTACTTCACAGTATTACACTCTAACTTCATCACTTTAATCGTAATTGTTACGAGTACCGTGCTCATAAGCTCTCATACGCGTGACATAAAATCATTCTATCACGATCAAACTGTCTCGATAACTATTAGGGCTATTAGCAACCACGAGTTTTTTTCTATAACTTCTCGGCTTACGAGCCCAAAGTCAGCTAACCTTGATTACTTTAAGCCGGGACTTCAAGCTTCTCTTTTCCGTTTTACCGAAGCACAAAATGTTGAAGCAAAACTAAGCAAACTTTATCAGGAGTACTCAGTGGAGCCGATATTCAAAAAAGCCGTTCCTCAGGCATCGTGATGCTGGCTGGGAAGTATGGCATCCTAGATAAAATTTGGCTGGGAATTAGTTAAGAATAATAGCTTGCTGGCGATTTTTTCTACCGAAATTATTTTTGGCTGGGAGATGACTCACAACGCTAGCCTAAGTATCAGGCCCTCCTAAGGGGATAGGGGAGAGGAGATCTTTGATGGGGGAGTGGGGAGAAGAGAAAGGTTTCTCTCCTTCAGCTCTCTCCCTATTTCGCTTCCATCTTTCCCCTTTTCCCCCAGAAACGCCTGATACTCAGGCTATCACAACGCCCACTTCCTGGCTCACACACTCTTTTTTTATCGCTTTGCTGGGAAAAACTTCCAGCAGTTAACGCCCAGTACAACGCCGATCATATGACGTGCGGATGACATCTGAAACTGTTTAAATGAAAACTCTTCTACGCCCCTGTATTCAATATCTGACAACTGGCTGTCAGCTCCTGTCAGTGTAAAATCAACTGTTTCATTCACTTTGCGCATAGACCGGTACGTCCAGAGAGAGAGAGAGAGAGCGGCGGAAGTTTTGAACTGGCTGTCCAAACTGGAATGCTTTAAAGATATCGGCTTCCTTGTTCGGAATTGTGGTACGAATTTTCTGGGGATCACAGTCTAGTATTGTTTTGTAACAGTAAGTGCTTACTAATACTTGCTTTCTAACTCACTTTTTGCTAGTGACCGACAAAATAAGTATAGTTGTCTCGCATTAGCATAGCCTGCGAAGCGCAGACGCATTTCCGGTCGTCGCTTCTCTCCCTCCGAAAAATATTTTTCGGAGGGAGGGAAGCGACGACCGGAAATGCGTCTGCGCTTCGCAGGCTAGCATTAGCACAGTTGATAAGGTTCTCTTATTGAAATACTCTATTGTAGCTGATACATCGTACACCAGTTTTGTATTTGTATGTGTTGTGTGAGCGGTCTGAACGAATACTCGAATTAACCGGAGTGAACTAAGCATCGGATAACGAAGAGTTTTCCGCCCGGTAAATGTTAGACGTAGTTACTAAAACCCGGAACGACCCACAACGATCCACAACGATCCACAACGACCCACAACGATCCCACAACGATCCACAACGACCCACAACGATGCACAACGTTGCGTTACATAAACCGGAACTGACTGAGAACAATTTACGCCCATGTGATTTTGTTATATAATACGTTTTCCTTCAAGTGTGGCACGGAATGTACTAGGTTTTTCAACAAGGATTTTATGAAGATGTTTTTAAGTTGGCGAGTTTCTTAACTCTATGTTTTTACGAGGCTGGACAAATGTAAGTTTTCTGCAATTTGTCTTCGTTTATTTGACTGTCTTTTCGCTAGCTAAGGATTCCCTTCTAATTTTGTATCATTTCGCAATTTTTAGCTTCAGATTACCACATTACTACGTTCTACCGTGTTGTTTAAATAAATACTGAAAATCCAGCCTTTGCCGTGGTTTTGCTCCTTTGACCCATCGGCCCAGTACTATTTTAAGTAACGTCAACGTACCATTCAAATATACATGAGGTCTCTGCCTGTAAAGGGAAGCAATTACGTACAATGGAACTCGTGATAGATATATACTTGAGATCTCTGCTGTCTTGATGGTCATTGTCATAACACTGCAATCCCAGTTCGCTTCGCTAGCGCAGAAATGTTTACGGAGAACAAAGCTGATGAAACTTTTCATGTGTCTTATACATATCTTTATTCGATGGCCGGCCGAAGAGACATCGATCGGACTTACAAATGTGTCTCTGAATGGAGATTCTTTCTTCGTGAAAAGCTGCATTTGCCCATTTATTTTGTCCTGTTTTTGACAACCCTATGAATGTGTTACCGGACTATCAAAGGTATTCTGGGTAGTTGTGAGTCGTTATGTTTGCTATTCAGTATGCTTGTCAATTTTTGGAAAAAATTCGAAAGTTAAGTTTTTGATATTTTTTTCTTAGGTGGTTTCTTTTGTTGTGGGATCGTTGTGGGTCGTTTTGAGATCGTCCCAGGTCGTTTGAAGATCGCTGTGGGTCGTTGTGGATTGTTGTGGGATCGTTGTGGGTCGTTGTGGGTCGTTCCGGGTTTTAGTAACTACGATCATCGAGTGGAAAATTGGTCCAGCAAAGGAGTTAAGGTAAGGGCGTGCAGTTAATTTAAAAATAACTTTTAGCTTTCTGTTCAGTTACGTAGTGAAAACTGGGCTGTACAATCGAACTGCGTCCTGCCAACCAGTCGAGCTAGAAAGGGAGACTTTTTCTTATCAGTAGTGAAAGCTGGTATTGAGTAATTGACGAGGAACGGATACCATATTTTTTGACCCGTCTATATTCTAGTGCCCGCGATGGTGGTAACTTGTGCCAGGTCAATTGCTTGATAGTATATGACTTTGTAGTTACTGGCAATTACTAAATATTGACTGTTTTTCTTTTATATCGATCTAATTTTCGCCAAGTGAATTAGAGCTCATTAGAGGAGACAAGGACAAACGAAATAACGTTCTCGTCTCTCAGCTGCCAATATTTGAGTTACATGTACGAAGTCTCCCTGTGCAAAAACAAGGCTTTCCCTCTTAGTTGCTTGCATTTATACAGTGCATTTTCATGTTAGCAACATTTTTAACTTTATCGAACTCGAAACTCGAGCAAAATTTCTCAGTGGTATTTTCGGTCGTTTACTTCAAAGTGTTCCGCCAAAACCTTCAGTGACGCAAGATTGTCTGTATACTTCATGTTGATAACCTGGCCAGTGTTTTTCTCCGGTCGAATTGACAAGCGTGGGTTCTGATATCCAGGCGTTTTCATCGAGTGACGGCCGAGTGCTTTTTGAGCTATAAGCTCCAAGCAAGGACTTTTTCGGAAATATATAATGCTAGTTTTGGTTCATGGGCCCCTGCTTTAAGAGATATTTATCAAATAAATTTGACCGGCCAGAAACGATAGGTGACCGAGCTAAAATGAATTTCACCAGAAGACTCTCCGGAAGTTATTTCGAGCCCTGGATGCAGTTGAACGTTTTACGAAATTGAGAATTTTTCTTATTCCTCTTTTTATCACATTTTTGAATCCAAAAATTTTATATTTCCATTTTCCAAGAAAATTAGCCCAAGTAACGGGAGTAAAATGTAAAAAAATTAAACTTAAGAAAATAGTAGGGAATTTTTTAGATAACAAGGCTTCGAAAATTGTACCTGAATGGAACGCTAGTCTATAAATGTTTAGCCGTTGTCAAGCAATAGAAAATTCTAGGCGATATTTGCTTCCCCGAACAGAAATTTTACAGAAAACGGTCTTGGGTGCCCCTGATTGAAAGGAACATTTTACCCGAAACAAACTAACAAAAGTTAATCGTTCCTTTATAAATGTAGCTATCCCGCGTTGCAGGCGCATCATTTACGGAACTTAGCTCAGAATATAGACGATTTAGGGACGGACCATTTGAAAAGTTATTGGGGGGAAGGGGGGGAAGGGGGGGGAGGGGTTGGAGAATTTTCGAGCGGCAGGAATTTTTTTTTCGTTATTAAATTCCGTTTATGAATTCTTTTAGGCCGTAGCATTAATATTTTTACGGTTAATTGGCGTGCAGGAATTTTTTTCTTTTAATTTTGCCTTGCGCGAATATTTTTTTTGTACTACGCCCGCCCCCCCGCCCATAAGTTTTCTAATGGTCCGTTCCTTAGAGGAACGTTTTCAGCTACAAAAAAATCTCAGCTTAGAGAAGATGTTAGAAATAGCTTGCAGAACAGGCGCTTTTTTCAGTTTCGGAGCTTTTCTGGCGTTCTGCAGGTTAAAAAAGCTGTTTTTACTGGGATCAAGATAGAGCCCACAAAGTCCGGTAGTGCTTTATGCCTGTCGGGAGCGACTATATAGGAAATAGTCGAAATAGGGCCATGTATCTTCGAGGTCATTAGCGGGGCTGTGGATACCAAATTAAGATCGATGCGGAAGGGGTCAGGCTTCAGTGTTGTGGCTTGTTTGGAGGAGGATTTTTTTGTTTAAGCAAGTAAGAAGAAGAACCAAGTACGCCAAACGAGCCGCTCGGCGCCGCATTCCATCAGTGAGTACAGAAGTAAAGCAAAGTAACGGATGACAGATTTTTGCTTGAGACAAAGCGTTTTGTAGTTCTTTCAATTTAACGAAAACAGTATTGAAATTAAAACACAGTTTAGAATCACCGTGGGCTCAAAATAACAGAAAAATATTTCTGAGTAGGATTGATTTAGATATAGTATTCAATCATTGAAAGCCGTCGGATACATCTCAAAGTACATTTGACACTGAACTGGGAAGGCCCAAGGCCCAATTTAGCGAAACGCATCACCGGTAGCAAAAATACCGTAGTAAGAGGCAGAGTAGACTCGCGTGTTGTACAAGTCACTGTCAACAGTCAGTTTAATTTGCTTGTGGGAGCCTAAGGGACCGGTCATTATTTATCGGGGGATTTTAGGGGGGTAACTTGATTTTTGGGAGAACGAATTAAAAGAGGTAGGGGATCAGTCGTAACTGAGAACCCAAAAGGGGGATCGCTGAAAACTTTGGAAGGATTCAGAGGGGGGATCACGAAAGTCATCAAAAGTTATTAGGGGGGATCACTTCAGTGAAGTAACATTCAAAGGGGGTATGGGCTAAATTTCACTTGTCTTGCCCCAAATCCTCCCCCCGCCCCCTGACTGGTCCCTAAAACTAACAGAAACAAAATTCTTATTCTTCAAAAATGTGCTTGGTTACACAGAGAAATAAAGCGTAAAGTTGAAGAAGTTAAGCACATGAATTTGGAGGTCATGCGCCCGAAGACCAAAGACAATATGAACTTCCAGCCTGAATATCATAGGTGACGAATTACTCTTTAATTTTGGCGCGAAATTTCAGCGTTAATTTGTAATTTCACATGTGAAATTACTAAATTGCCATGGCAACCTGATACGTCTCCATTTCAAGATGGCGACGAAGTTTTAAAATGTCATGAATGAAGATGTCAGGGCATAAAAAGACGCTTTAGAAAACCTAAACACACGAAAGAGCAGATCAAGAAGGATTTTTAGAGTTATGTTGTCAAAAAATTCTGAAAATTTAAGCCAAATTTCAGCTTTAAACGTTTGAGAGAGTGGAGTTCACGATCGATCGATACGATCCAGGACAAACAAGTCAAAAATCCTCGATTGCTATAAAGGTAATTCGTCACCCATGATATTAATAGGAAATCAAATGGTATACTCGTGAAATTAGGGAATAATTTCACTTGCGTTTTGTCCAAATCCTAATTATTTCGGCTCGGGAAATTATAAGGATTTGGACAAAACGCGCGTGAAATTATCCCGTAATTTCACTCGTCACTATTTGATTACACATACAAATACACCAGCTTACACCATAATTGATCAGTCCACGTTAATTGCTTGTAAAGAAAAAGGATGGAGGGGGGGGAGGGGGAGGGGGGGGGTCGTTAACTTTCGTACTCTGAAAAGGGGGGCTTATTAAAGAGTAGCCTGAGATCATGCCCTCTCCCTATTATCCCTTTATGTATCTCACGGGAAGAGGGCATGATACATTTCTTTGTCGGATCACATGTAAAAAAGCCAGAATCTGGACTTTTTTCTGATTGGATAGGAAACAATACGGATGATTTGCGCTGTTCCGATTGGCCAAAATGCCGCCATCCGTTAGTTGTTGTTGATTTCAGTCTGCATTTTTGCTTGCGTAATGAGCAGTGAATACACACGCGAGTTCGCTATGAAATTTCTGTCGGCTCGGTTTTCTTGAATTTGAAGAATGCCTAAATAGAAGTTTCACCCATTGAAATATTTTCCTTCTCATCGTATACTAAAACAGTTGCAGTCAAACCTTCACCGATCATTTGAATGCAATTTGATACCGGCTACAAGTTACAGAAGGGACAAACACGTTCACTTTTCAAATAATCAATTCATGAATGGAATCTTGACCTGGTTTGACTGTAATTCCTCCTTCAGAAATCATGCTGCGAGTTATTCTGAGCGATCTTCGTTTTCACAACACCTTTCAGTTCGTGAAATATGGTGCTTCAGCCTATTTTTTTTTCACTGCTTTCAGCACAGAACGAAGTCAACGAGCTTTAACCAGTAAATTCTTTATTATTTGTAGCTGTTAAATAAAGGTACGGCAGCTCCAGCTAGTAGTATTTCATCACAAAAACAACACATTAAAATTTTTTTTAAGGAAGCGCCATCTGAACATGGACGTATTCAAAAAATTTCTTTTCCCTAAAATTGATTTCAAAAGAGACATTATTCGCGCCAAAATGTGATTCCCGTATGGTAAACGCTTATTGGCTAATAACATGACAGGTCAAGCAGACGTTAAATTATGTAAATTGGGGGGCGGTTGACTGCTTGTTAAATAAATGTATCAGGCGTTATTTTTTTTCCCTCTCGAGCCAAAGAAACAAAGAAGTAAAAAAAAAAAAAAACGCCTGATCTCAGGTTAATTAAAGAGGGGTGGCTTAATAGAGGATTTACAGTAAGTATGACTCTGACCGAGATGAAAGTTCCTTAGTTTGTAATGATTCAATAAAGGTCCTCGCCGATATGATTAATTTGTCACTGCTAACACTCACCACTATTTTTCATGTCTAATTTGAAGTATTGATAAGCCGATCTTACGTTTTATTCATGCCACCCTAATTTCACTGAAGCACATAAAATGACTTAAATTAAATGATACGTAAATTTTGAAACAAATAGGTTTCGAAGCTTTTCGAATTACGGTGAACAGCTGAGGGTGGTGTTGAAAGTGACGATAAATAATATTGAGGAGAAGATCAGTACAGGATTATGATTTTAATTGCTGAAATTGAAATGGCAGACTCAATACCAAAACCGTTTATTCAGTAGTACATGAAGTCAGTTTGATTGGCAATATGAGATTGCTGCACACATGAATTTAGGTGACTCCTTCACTGAAGAGATAGCAGTCAAGTCTTTCTATTAAACATGTTTGTCGGACGGATTTAACGGTATCGAAAAGCATAGCTAGCAAGTTTAAGCAAAGTGAAATTTTTCCTCAAAACACACCAGATTGATTTTTGGTTTAGATACCAGTGAACAATTAGCTCTGGTTAAAGAACACAGTTCATCAACAACCCATGGGCGGTAGACCTTTTTTAAGTTTCTTTTCTAAAGCACTGGACAATCATTTTCTCCTCGTTTTTACTAAGTTCTCATTTTAGAATTGTTCTTGGAATTTTTCCTGTTTAAGTTGTTACTGGCAACTTAATCTCGCATGCATTTCTTTATCTACAGTCAGCGGTTAAACTGAACGGTTAAGGAGATACCAGTGCAGACTAAGATTTTCATTAACAGGAGTACTCAGCATGTCTTCACTAATAACCGCTGTATTTAAAGTCACTATCGGCCTGTTGGTGAACAAAGGAAGAGATAAACTGGCAGAGAAGTTAAATGAGGGTGATGTTACAGATCAGAAATTCCGTGGCCTGATTGTCCGTGAAATCGATGAAATAAAATCGAAATTGGATGGTTTAGCAAGAAAGGATTTGTTAGCGAGTATCAGCCTTTTTAAAGAAGGAATCGAGTTGTTGTATGAAGTGTTTGAAAGTGCCAGACCCAGTACCGAGCATCGCGCGATAGCAGCAGCTGCAACAGCTTGTGTTGAGCAATTCGATATTGCTAAAGAAATGAGGAAACTACAGCTTACTACCTTGGATGAGTCCGCCACGAGGAAGCTCGGCAAAGCGATGGAGACATTTAGTGAAGCTCGATTAGAAGCAATAAAAGCTTTTAATAATGAAGCTTTGGAATTATCTGATCGCCTGTTAGCTATGCAATATCGACTAATGGCTACGATACTGAGAACAATTGACAATCCTACCGACGCATTAGCGGCTTGTAGAGTCTGCCTTGACGATTTACATCAAGTGCCAGCTGTTAAAGAATATTTCAAAGTTGAGTTGGAGGAAGGATTGAGATTGAGGGCTCGCTTCAATAAAGACGAAAGAAGGCAAATAATTTTTTCTGTCTGTCACGCTAATCGTGTGATCTATGATGTAATGAGCGTGCTCGGTAGTGGAAAAATGTGGACGTTGCCTGATGTTGAAACCGGGAAAAAGAAAGTGGATCCACTCCACAACGAAAGAGTCGTTAAACTACTGACAAAACAAGGTAAGGAGCACTGCTGTGTTACACCATGGTCATTTGGTCAGGAGTGTGATGAGGAGCACAAGCTGAAGGTTCCGCGTGGTATCGCTACAAACACCAAAGGACAATACCTGATAGCAGACGATTGGGATAAAACCGTGAAGGTGTTTGATAGCAACGGAAAGTTTGAGTTTAGGTTTAATCCTCAAACTGATGACGCCGATACAGAGCTAGATATTTTGGATGTCGCCACTGCAGGTGAGGACGAAAAGATTTATCTACTGGTCGATCTGAAGAAGCCTGGGGCTGAGGAATGGGAAAGGGAAGTGCAGATTTTTAACATGACCGATGACCTACAGCACAAGTTTCCTGTGAGGAGAGGGGACTGGGGCAGACTAACAGTGAGCAGCGGCAAACAACGCGGCAAAATTCTGCTGTTGTCACGTGACGTTGTTGATGTTCACGAGTCGAGTGGCGAGTTTGTTTGTAGCTTTGGTGGAGGAGTGTTCAAGGATGCAATAGATATCACTGCTACTTGTGATGGTCGCTTCATAATACTGGACGAACTCGATTACAGCCTTTACTTATTTGATGTGGAGGGACACCAGCATGGCAAATTTAATATCAAATATGAGAGAGATGTCTATTATCGCATTGCATGTCACCCGACAAGTTACCATGTCGTCCTTGCTGGTGGGGAACGAGCGACAGAACGCCTGACGCTTGCTATATACACCGTTAATGGCGAGTTTGTTCGCAGAATTCAGCTGGATGAAGAAGTGTATCTGCAAGGTGGAATAACAGTGACCGTAGAGGGCCACATTGCTGTGGCTTTAATTACAGACAAGCATGAGAAAGAAAAAGTAATCGTTGTTTAAGACTAAAAAATTCGAAGACACAAGTAAACAGTTCTTATTTCACTTTCATGAATAAATGTCATCAAGGCAGATGTTTAAATTTAATGCTGCAGTTGGTTGGCATCACTGGACATGACTGGATTAAGCCACATACACCGCAAAAACAACTTCATCCCCTCTTAAGTTTACTGATGTTTGTAATAAGGCTTGTGTTATCGCCCTAACCTTTAAAAACAAACCAAAACAGATAAAATGAATGCGATACATGTACAGTAAACACTCGCTAATAAGAACCTACATTTTTTTGAGATCTGGCAAAAAAGGTTCATTTATTTTGGGGTATTTATGAGCAATTTAGGCTAAGTACAACTGTAGCGTCTTAATTAGGTTTTTACAGTAATTTCTATGAAAGAGATGTACAGGGTGTCCCAAATGTCAGTCGTTCCTCTAATAATTTTCATGCGCAATAACTTTTGATCAAAACTTCATTTTTACATAAAATTTCTAAAAGATAATATTATTGCTCTATCGAGTACATGATTGTATAAAGTTCAGTAAGCTGCATGTCCTTTTTTTTTCTTATCACATTTTGTAGCTGTTGCAGCATGGAGTGGGATAAGTCATTAGAGCGTCTACAGCTCCAGATGAGCCACTTTTAGCTTTTTTACCACATGGTTGTTTCTTTGACAATTAGTCGTATAATAATATTGTCATTTGTGCAGAATGGAAAATAATTCAATTCAATTCAATTCTTTATTTCACACTTTATAAGATATTTACACAAGTGTATGTAGGTAGGAAAATAAAGTAGCTGATAAATAATAACAATATTAACTAAAAGACATTAAGTTCACTTATGTACAGTGTCCAAAGTAGCAAGAGCTTTCTTGTTGGACGCCGTCATGTTCAATACATTGAATCCAGATTCCATTGGTTAACACAAACATCCTCACCATTTACCAGCTTCGCTATAGCTCTTTTCATTGTAGATTCAGGTGTTTAAGCTTAAAATGCTCTAACCCAATCGCGTACCACATCGAAAAACATTATGGACTTCTCCAGGAAAAATAATTTACGATTCTCCCTACTTGATTTAAGCAGGCAATGATGTCGTGATAACGCATATAAATAACCGATGCAACCAGCCATCTTTTTGGTACAGATGTGCAGGCTCATTCCCAAAAACATTAGCTGATAATCAAGCCTATTAGTAAGAAAATTAAGATTTTATTCCAAAAATTTTCACTAAATAAAGCATAAACAGTTTCTAGACAGTCGTTTCCTCCAGATTTTCAGGTAAAGCATCTCTTTGACCCAAACGACACTAAGCAAATGATTCAGATTTAAAACTGTCATTATGGAGAGAGGGCTCTCTTCAGTTGACAAGCATCCCTCAAAACTGCCTTTGCCTGTAATCAATCCTGCTTGTTAAAAATTCTTTTTGGGCGGCTTTAAGTTTCTATTTGGCTAGCACATGCTAGGTACAGCTTGTCCAAATGGCAAGTAGTAAAAACTGACTTTCTTAATAAACCCTGACAGATTCATAATTTGCAATTGAAATAATAGAAATGTAACTTACTATTAATGGCAATTTTGTTTTGTCTTTAAACTGTTTTAATAATGAAGTTTGGCATCTAAATCACAGGCGAAAAACATCTGTTGGCCTTAATTAAAATTAATTTGGCTAATGAAAACTTTGACTGCTTTGCAGAGCCTATAGCCTGCTATCGTTAAAGAATGCATGATTATAAATATTATTGTTAGTTTATATTTCGTAGCTTAACAATAATATTTCTCTTTAAACTGTTTTAGGTTATACTCACACCTTCTTTTAATTTGGTTCACCGGAATTAAAATATTAAGCTTGACTCCTGCTTTTAAATATGTTAGTATACAGCTGTAGGTGAAACTCTGCAGCGATCACCTTAACGATGCAGACCTCTAAGTGTTCATTGTGGGGATATAAAGCCTGGTTTCCATGTGATCATCCCGATCACCCCAGTTGTTTCAAAAAATTTTGAAATGATCTGGACAGCTGGGACGATTGCTGGTTTTCATGTGATCGACTGGCTGATTGCCTCAGTGACAAGAGACACGGGGTCATCAGTGATGTCTCTGGGTCAGACAGTAGAATTTTTGCATAGGTTTCCCAAACAAGCCAAACATACATGTAATGATGGATTTTAAATGGAGAGCAAACCTCGAGCCTTGTTATCTGCTTTATTTCGGCTCCACTACGCAGTACAACATGAATAGAAAAATTATTAGGTTTATTTTGGCTGTTTCGGCCAAACACCGCAGATATAACAATACATTATACAACATCTTCTATTACATTCAAATATGTGATGTAAGAACTAGAACAGAGCTGAGCGACAGTTTACACAGAATACTGTCAGAACAGAGGCCAGAAAAAACCTGCCGGAAAAAAACCTCAGTAAGGAAAAAAACTCGGCAGCAAATCTGGGTAGGATCCATGGCTCATGCTCTGTAAAGCCCATCCTACGAAGGCTACACGGCTGGAAGGACTTTGCCCTTATTTACAAAACAAGTATTCCAACAAAGGACGGTAAACTCTAAATAATTTAAGGAAACGCAAACAAGCTAAGAAACCCCTGGAAAAATCGAACTGCCACTAGTAAATCAAATATATATACTAAAATAAATAAATAAAAAATAACATGAGCTAGACGAGGTGTCGGCCTAGAATGCTTTCCCACGTGATAAGTTGGATAACACTTTCCGGGATCTCCATAATTCTTCATATGATATGAAAGCGGAATTCAATAATATTGTTTTGTTATTCATTCAAAATAATTCCTAGTTTAAAAACATGGCTAAAACATGCAAACCTCCATCGATGTTAAGTTCATCTTTGATAGTGCACGTTTAGAGTTGTTCAGCCCCACAAATATTCTCCAAATAGCAGATGTCGCCCTTTGAGTTCTTGTCTTCTTCTGTTCTTGCCATGTTTTCAGTTATTATTTCACCTAGTTCTTACTCTTGAAATGAGTGAAACGTCGCCATTTTTGTTTTCACAACCAAAACAACTCAACCTTGTCCCCAGGTCCTCTCAGTTAACGTGGCATTAAGCTACAAGAAAGCTGCACTTTTGTCGTCATCCGTTCATTAAACGCAAAACTCTTCCAAATTTGGTCATCAGTAGCTTGTTACGGCGAATTATTCGTGTGCTTTTAGCCAATCAGAATTGGGGAAATACTTTGAATGAATAATAATCTCAATTAATGGAATGATAGTGATGATTTCTGGGATAGCCTTCGATCGTCCTGATAGTCTCGGTCTTCTGAGAGCATTTCCAGATCACTTCAAAATTTACACCGATCGATAGAGGTCGTCTCACTCACGTGATTTTTCTTGGCCAGGGGAAAATCAGGAAAGTTTGCAAGTGGTCAGGAAAAGGCACAGGTGTTGTGAAGGTCTGTGAAAAGTCAGCCGCAAAGTTTATTCTCTGGTGAAAAGTTTTCAGAAAACACAGTAAAAATCATTAAAAAAGTCAAAAACGAAGAGTAGAGTAACATTGAATTTTTTTTAGGAATTTTTTTTTATAAGTTTCTGCTGCTGAGTTAATAAACTCTATTTAACATAACTATGAACAACAAGCAAACAAAACCTCAGGCAAAAAAAATTGTTAAGGGGGCAAAACAAAGTGAATAAGGTCGACTGAGAGTTTATACTTTCAGTTGTTTTTTTCATATTAACTTGAAAAGAAGCCATGACATCATTGCCTATAACAAAACGTTGTAAAATTAATATTATGGCCTTGTGCCCAAATCTTAATCAGCTAACAAGGTCATTATTTAACCACTGCTAGGAATTCGACATATGATAAACATGTGGAAAAATGAAAAATATTAATGTAAACATGCCTATTAGTCTGTTATTCATTTAATAAAGTTATAAGCAATAGATGTTTATTATTAATTGGATAAACCTAGCCTGGTCACGTCCAGTGAAGCCAACCAACTGTATACATATACAAAAATGCAAAACTTTGCCTTTGATGACATTCATCACAAAAAAAATCTGGACTGTTCACTTACTGTTATGTCTTCGAGTTTATTAGTTTTAATCAACAATTTATAATGAAAGGGTGTGTGGAAAAAAAAATTGGTAACTTTTTTTTAGATTTTTAGGTATTTTTAGGTTTTCGTACCCGTGATTTGACAGACTGGAGTTTTTATTAACACGTACTAATAACACTAAATAATCTTTGCATTTGATTTGGGACACGAATTTTCAATATCTAGATTAACATGTTCAAGAAGCCAATTAGAAGGTCTAAATTTCTTGTTGAGCAAGACAACAAGAAAATGGCAGGGTGATTTTATTGAATAGCGGATGTTAGTTTATACAAGTGCCAAACTTTCCAATTAGGTACTTTTTAGGGGCAGTGTCATCAAGGTTTTGTGCTACTTCAAAATCCAACAAATGCATAATTATGTCATTATGGAAATCCACTGATTCACTATTTTCACATAGACTATAATGCACCTTGTGTGCCCCCAAAATTTTGCCTCAACATTCTTTTAAATATTCAATATTTCTCTTGGGATGACTGTAATATCAAGGAGAAACTGAAAAGAAAATGCAAAATTTTCGGGTCAAACATGGTGCATAAATTATAGTCTATGTGAAAATGGTGAATATAGTAACCTTAATGGCCTCTCTAGGAGTCATTAAAAAGAGAGTTTACGCCATAAGAAAACTTAAGTTGACAAATCCTTAAAAAAAGTTAATTAGGCCGATCCATTTTCAAGTTTGCTGGAGTTACATCAATTGGAAAATCTTTTCAAAACCATTAAAAAGATATTTTTATTATTATAGTTCACTTGCGCTTTTCAGAACGATTTGATGTCTTTCTCGTCATTCAAATGTCATTTTGTGCAACTCTGGGTTCTAAACGAGCCTTTTAGCAAAGTATGTGATTTCTCTGCCAGAGTATACGTGTATTTTCCACAAAACACTCAGGGCTGGTTATTAAAACAGAGCGTTACTAACAGAATGAGGTTTAAAAAAATGTCTGGGCCCCCAAAATATATATTAAATGATTTTCCAGCCTAGCCTTGAAGCCTTTTTGATGCTGTTAACAACAAACAATGTTTTCTAGATATGAGCGTTATAAGGATGGTAAAATAATTGAAAAATGACTTAGAATGCTAAAGTTCTGTTAAACACCACCTGAACTTTGTTTTAATAACCAACCTTTAGTTTTAATCTCTAGAGTCACAGTTACCTAAAAATTTTAGAGTCTACATGTGCCCAAAGCAAAGTGGCCTTAAAGGCAACAGGTCGTAAGCTGGTTTTTGTGTCCAGATTATGCAAACTTTTGTACCACAAATTATGAGTTAAAGTTTATTTGTACTTAGCCTTTGTGTGTTTAACAGAAAGCTGCATGTACGTAAATGGAGTTAATATTTCTTATCTCTTAATTAGTGTTAACCCTTTGTGGGTTTATAAACGGAAAGCTTTGTAAATATGCCACGTTGTTAATACTGCCCAAGCGTAAGTAGGTCAAGATGGCTGGAAATTGTTTAAGGGGTTTCAATGTTTTAATGAAACAATACAAAGTTTGTGATCAACAAGTTCTTTAAGCTATGTAGACTAGTGGGCGGTTTCATTTGGGGTGTTTGAGAGACATCTCTCACTTTACAAGCTACAAACGAAAACAACACCCTGCAAACAGCAAACAAACCGCCAGCTGCAGTGCGGGCTACAAGTTCTTGGAAACTCAGTGTTTTGTTTCAAGTTTTCCTTGGTTTTAATATGAAAATTTTTTTTCTCTCTTAAATAAAATGAACCAAGGATGAAAATGAATTTCTACATAGGCATACCGATAATTTAAGACAGAATCCACCAGGAAATTGAGTAATTTTAATTCTCCTTGGACAAAAACGAAAAAACCAGAATAACTTAAGGAATTTTGCATTCTTTTTTTTGACATTTTTCTAGGGCTGAAGATGTAATAAATCATCTGTGGTAACACCAAAGAAAATTTCTCATGGAAGTCCGAGAAAATCAATGTCAAATTTGACGAGAATTGTGATTACACATTTAAAATTCTGAAAATTTCATGTGTAAGATGTGATTCCATGAAATTTGACATTCATTTTCTCGGGCTCCCATTTTTTTTGGTGTCTCTACAGATGATTTATTACATCTTTAGCCCTTGAAAAATGTAAGAAAGAATGCAATATGCTTTAAATTATTATGGTACAAGATTTTTGTCCTCTGAAAATCAAAATTACTCAATATCCTGGTGGATTCCGTCTTAATATTTTTCAACATTTACGTTGTATCTTTATCATGACTGAACTGTAGCATTGTAATAGCATTGGTATTTTGTTAATTCCTATGTTTTATTTGCAATAAAATTAAAAGTGTTACTGGTTTACTTTTTTATAAAATACATGTTTTTTTCGTTTTGAACAGAACACAGGGGGGAGGAGTGAGGCAGTGGTCAGAGCACTCGACTCCCATCAGTTTGGCCTGGGTTCAAGTCTTGCTATGTACGCCATATATGTGTTAGGGACCGGTTATTATTTATTGCCTGGGGGGGGGGAGGAATTTTAGGGGGGATCACTAGATTTGTGGGAGAACAAAAGGGGCATCAGTCGTAACTGAGAACCCAAAAGCGGGGATCGCTGAAAACTTCGGAAGGATTCAGAAGGGGGATCACTCAAAATTGCTTGGAAAATGAAGACGGGGGGGGGGATCTCGAAAGTCATCAAAAGTTGTTAAGGTGGATCACTTCAGTGAAGTAACATTCAAAGGGGGTATCAGCAAAATTCACCTTGTTTTGCCCGAAATCGTCCTCCCCCTCCGGCAATAAATAATGACCGGTCCCTTAGACCTGATTAGTTTCGCGAAACCACCAATGAAAGCGCTAAATTAAGGAAAAATCGCCACCCGCGAGGAAGGCGAGCCGCGCGCGGTGCACTCTTTCTTTCGAGCGTCACCTTTCTCGCGGGTGGTGTCAGGTCAGGGAAAATGACAGAATACTCGCAGTCAGATTGTTGAGGCTATTTTCGTTCCTGATTTTTTTACGCAAAAAAAAAAATAATAAAGCATAGTATATGTAACTCTGGCGTCGAGCTTTCCCTGGAAGCAAAGAAGCTAAGCGACGTATAACTTTAAATGACAGATTTTTAAGGAGTGAACAGATAAGCTGCATTCTTAGAATAAGCTGAACTTTTATCGCAAGGCTACAGTATAGCCCCGCCATACGACCACCTCGTTATCTCCAAACCCTCCGCGTTGATACGAACTCCCCACTGGCGGATTCAGATGCTGAAGTCAGTGACCGTGCTAACCTCTCTGGTGAAAAAAAAAAGGTACGATGAGACTTCCTGGCGGATACAGATGTTCTGCGAAGTAGGGCACCACCAATCCAGACCTAAGATAAATGGAGGGGGAGGGGAGGGGGCTGCAGGTTTCAGCTCAGGCCTAAAATTAAGGTGCGATCCCCGCAGGAAATCCCGAGCGGGCTGGATTACTGTCAAACTCAGAAAACTGTGAACACATGAAAAATTTCAGCAAAAGCAAAAGTTGATTGTGCACCGGCCCAAAAAAATGCACTTTATTTGAGTGTCAATGTATTTAGCAGGAAAGTACTATTTGGGGACACTAGTTTTAGGCGGGACCGCCATTTTATGTGGTCATCCGAGCCACGCGAAGGTCTAGCCCCCGGGGATCGAACCCGCGACCTCCCGCTCGGCAGTTAACCGCTCTACCGACTGAGCTAACCCTGCGCGGCCAATCACAATAAAGTTTAGGATACGAAAGGAAACTTTAAAACCACAAACTAATTACCATTGCTGTTTGCGGTTTAGTTATCTCGTGCCTTATTGGTTAATTTCTCGCAACACAATAACATGCCATAAATATTTCTGGTGTTGAAATTAGAAAGGTCTTCCCAGAAATGGCAAAGTGAGCACGATAGGGGCATACCGCTTTTACGAACTTAAACTTTAAGCCGTTTCTGAACACGCCAATAAGACGAGGCATTATCAGCTTTGGGACGAGGTCATTTTTAACAGTAACCGAGACCCTCGCTGGTACTCTCGGAGGGTTAAAGAAACACTTAACAGCATCAATAGGGACAGTACAGTCAGACAGTCACATGATCAGTGCAACAGGACAGCGGACCGCTGAAGGAACAGTCATCTCCTCTAATGCCAACAATGCTTTAGATTGAACCCTACCAACCATGTCCTGGCTGAGGTTCGTGATACACCAGTCACTAAAAACTACGGTGGTTTACTAATAGTCCCGCTCGGTAAATCGTAATTCGACTATTGTGAAACAAACGATAAAAGAAAACCTTAAATGATAATGATCTTCAGATCTTTCCCCATTTTTCACCACTTGAAAAGGGTTTTATGTTATATTTACGGTAGTTAAATGAGGGATTTTTACTGGGAAACTCACAAAACCCTGAACACCAGAAATATTTTTGGAATGTTATTGTGTTGCGAGAAATTAGCCAATCAGGCGCGATATAAGTAACACGAAAACTGAGCAATGGTAATTAGTAGTTTGTGGGTTAAACGTTTGCTTGCGTATTCCTGAACTTTATTGTAATTGGCAAGTACCCAATCATCATTCCTGAAATTTTTTTTTAGGTTTTCACTGTTTTCAGAGTTTGATAGTAATCTAGCCCGCTCGGATTTTCCTGCTTTGTGTCGCCAGAAAAAGTTTGTTTTGTCCATATATTAATGTGTTCTTTGTAGTCCAAGCCAGTTCGGTAACAAACTTGGCTGAATATTAGCCTTGTTCTCTCTCCTTTTAAAGTCTGCGTTTAAAAAGAACTTGTGCAATAACGAGCCATCCTTACCCCTGGCTTAGCCAATAACGCACATGTACTGCAGCCTGCATAACAGGCGCTTAATGAGCCAAGCGAGACGAACGCGGCATTTTGAGCAAAGCGCGAAACGAGTGCAAAGCGCGAAACGAGTGCGAAGCGCGAGAGGGGGGGGGGGGAGAAGCTTTATGCTTTATTTTTCTCCTCCCCTTGTTTCGCGCTTCGCACTCGTTTTGCGTTTCGTGCAAAATGCCGCGTTCGCCTCGCTTAGCTCATAAAGCGCCTGTTATGCAGGCCAATGTACTGTAGCGGTAACACTAAGTAATATGCATCAAAACCTTTATTAGGCAACAGACTTTTTTAGCTTGCATATATGTTTTGTTTTCTCATCTCAGAACACGTGTTGGTTCTTTTGCACGTGAATCCACGAGCATATGTCGGCATAATTAATAAAAAGTCAAAAATTCCCTGGAGAACATCACGTGGTCTGAATTGGGAAAGCAAAAGAAAAGATCGAGCAGAATGATGAAATGCCAAGAAGCCATATGTATGGTATAAGGGCAAACACACTTAATCACCCGCACACTGATGACAACTGTGGTGTTATAATGTTTACATTGATCAGCATGTAAGAGCGATGAATAGTCAGGGCTGTTTAGGTACAGCAGTCGAACCTGTCTAATACGGACACCGAAGGGACAGAGCGAAGTGTGAAGAGGTGTCCGTACAAAAGAGGTCACTATGACGACGTCACTTTTATGACTACATTTCCGTAAAACCAGGCTCACACTCGTCTTTAAACTGCATTTAACGGTTATTAATTCACAGTCAAAGACCGGGCGCTGTCTTTCAGAAGCATACAACATTGTACATGTCAGCGCTATAACTTTTGATCAAGACTTTATTCTTGCATGAAATTTCTACGAGGTGTTTATTGCTCTATCGAGTACATTTATTCAGAATTTAACTGAACCGGCATTCCCCCTTCGTTATTTTATCACATCCTATAGCCGTTGCAGCATTGAGTGGGATACAGCACGTAGAGCCACAGATAACTCTATTTTGAGCTTTTTTATCACCTGGTACTCAGGAACCTCTTCTGCACTTTGACCCCCCCGAACAACATTCTTTCAAGTTTAGGCGTTTAGGCAGCTGGAAAATATACTTTTAACATTCATCCAAAAAAGATAATCATCCCAGCCCCTATTCACAGTAACGCTTTTGTACCTCTTTACAGATTTGAGACGAGCTGATAGATGTTTTGCACACTAAGCAGAGGTCTTTTGTTGCCATCTCAGGGGCCTCTAACCTTCGCTTTTCATCAAACTGCTCTGGACATGGCTCGCTAACTATTGTAAGAGCTATCTCGTTGAGTTAAATCTCGTTGAATCTAACCTTCTTCAAAACTATTTTAGCGGTTTATTCTGGACTATCAGTCTTCCCCTCCTTTTTTTGTCTTGAAAACCTTCATTTCTCGATGACCATTTCACCAGCCGAAAATTCGGATTTTTCCATTTTTTTATCAGTTATTTCTTTGATAAGCCGGTAAACAAGTAAGTAAACATGCTCATGCTCTCACGTAGCTGACCATTTTTGCGTTTTGAGGTTTTTCTCTTTCATGATATTCACAAAAAACAACGAAGGAGTTTGAGCAAATCGGGCTACAAAATACAAAATATATGTGGCGGAAAATATACTCGCGCACGAGCACCTTTGGCGCGGAAGTACACAAATCGAATATTAGAGTCACCAGATGGCACAACAAGTATAAAATATTAAATTGTATTGAAAGACACAACTTTTGTTTAAGTGATGTGCTTACCGATTCCAATCGTACTACATTACAGTCTTATAAAGTAGAGGAACGAACTTTTGGGACACCCTGTAGTGTCCGTTGTCCGTATTATAGAGGATTTTTTTAAAGAAAATAGATGAGAATTTTGTCGTGACATTGGAAACTGTCCGCAATAGAGAGGTGTCCGTACCGAGGGGTTCGACTGTAGCCAATTAAAACACACTATTCGCTTCATCAGTGCTGCTCTTAATCACAGTCAGGCTTTTAATTAATCACGGAGCCAGGAATATCATAATAAACATATTCTTCTCACTATTTTTAACTTCGAGTGAGATTAGAAAAATGGCGTTTATTCAGGAAATGCATGTATTGTGCCAGTTTTTATTAACAATTTATATTTATGCATGAAAGATGAGTCACCTTTGTTTCAAAACTTAGAATTCCTCTTTTTACAGTAAGACATAGTCTGTCCCCACATTTGTATTTATCAAAGTCCCAAACTGGAAAATTGGTGTCGAGTAAAATAAACCAACAAGGAAAATACACTTCATTTTTCTTTCGATCTCTTCAGCTTTAAGTGATGATCATCATTACTCCAGTGGTGTTCACTATCTCAAAGGCTCAAAAACCCTGGCAATAAACGGATCTGAATGAACAACTGCTTTTCAGGGTTGGTTTTATGCTTAGAACATGTCTGATCCCATGTACGTCCGTAACAGAATTTTTTTTAGTTTGTAACTGCATCTGCCAGTTTCAATTACAGACAAATCGTCTTTCTCGTGACCGAAAAAAAACTGATACAGTGTAAGCTCTCCTTACGCTCCTCTCTCTATTACGGACAGTTCGTTTGGTCCGAGAAATTTCAAAAATCATACATTCCCTACCTCTATAATACGGACACCTCTGTAAAGTGGACACTTGGTTCTGTCCCTTTGGTGTCCGTATTAAAGAGGCTTGACTGTATCGGATGCCGATCTAACTCAACTAAAACAGACCGCTTCAACGCTGTTCTTCTTCACAGAGACCACTGTATAAACCATTTGCACATTTGGGAAATTATAAAAAGATTAAAGTTTGCCTGAAAGTGCTATTCAGCAATGGTGCCTGTTCTTTTATGCATATGCTTCTTGCCAAATTTCATCATTTTTTTTATCTCCTTGGAAAGTGGCCTGACATATTGCTCATAATTTTGCCAAATATATGTGTTATTGACCAAACACGAGGTTATGATGGCTTGGTAGTGGGTATTGGCCCAGTTCCTTTTTTGCGTTTTCGTAAGTGGAAATAATGTACTTCATATTAGCCTTCATTTGATTCCTTGCACATTAACATTTCACACACAGGCACTCGATCAGCTATGTCATTTATGAGGTTCACTAATTTGATAATCACTCTTTAGACTCCAAAGTTGAAGCAAAATTCCCGGGGCAAAATTATTAACATCACAACAGGAAGGAATGTTCTTAGTGTGAGTCATATCATTAAACTTGTCAGTAATGGGAAAACATATTAATAGCACCACTGGAAAGTCCTGCTCTGTAAGACTAAAGATAAACATAATCGATTATCCTCTCCCCTTTTGGAGCGTTTCAGAGATAGTGAACCAATAATTCAAATGAAACATAACAAAGCTAAGAATCCCAGCTGGTAGGAGACCAAGTATGGAGGAGGATTTGAACTCGGGACTACAGAGAACATATCCAGCTATAGCGGTCAGCAGGGCGAGACTTGAACATGGGGCAAAACGTCCGGCGTTCTAACCGCTCGGCCATGCTGCCTCCAAAGTTAAAACAACCTCGTTACTGTTACACCACTACCGTTTCGTAATATAATTTGTTCTACAGGAAAATATCAATTTTATTTTCACTGAGTCGACTCGGCCACTTTGTTCATCCAAAAATAGTAGCTCTAAAGGATATTTTAAGAATAAATTAAACTGCAACTTCCACGAAAAATAAATAATATTGCTCTACAGATATTTGACACTGAGCTCTCACCATTTGAAAAGGCTTTGATAATCACACTTAAGAATTCTATCACGGACTCCTAAAGTTAGACCAAAACTACAGCTGAATATTCAATAACACAACAACACAGTCAGTCTATTTTAGTATAGTTTATAGAGCAAACTTATCCATACTCAACACAGTTTAAACTTCCATTTGAATGTTTCACAATAATGTCAAAACTAGCCAATTGCTAGTACAGCCGCTCCATTTACTCACTGACGCCCCTTCTCTAGTCTGCTACACAGCCGTTTTTAGTGTCGTCACGCAACGCTGTGCTGTGTAGCAGACTACCCCTTCTCCGATTTTGATTTTTCTTGGGGGAGGGCTAGGGAGCGACTGTAAACGGCCTAGCAGTTAAAGGAAACTCCTACATCTGTAAGTTACAAGAAACTTCTACAATTTGTAATAAATAATCAACTAAATGGATGGTATCATTTTTTTTAAGGAGTGGGCCACTTTTTTCATCTAAAACTGGATAAATTTTCTAAAGGTATGTGAAAAAATGGAATTTTTAAAAACTGGCGCTTCCACATGTAAATCAGTGTTAAACCAAATTTTTAATCTTAGAGATATTTTACAATTTTCACAGCTTGAAAGAGTTTAAGTTATTTATGCATGAGTATTTTACAGTAAGTTTGCGTTTGTAACATGCATAAAATTCTTGTCATTTAAGAAAAAAACATATCTTTTGTTTGATCTCCCTCTCTGCTGGAAAATTGCCTAATAAGGATTTGATGCATATTCCCTTGGTGTTGCCAATGTGTTTTTGGCTTGGGGAGGAGATAATTTGACTGGTGATTGGCCGAGTTACGTTTTTAACCCAGAAAAGGAATAAAGCTTATATGCAACCATCTTCATCGAACTGTTTTGGTCTACAAAGGACTCTTTACATAATCAAAGAACAGAAAATATTTTCTTGCGAGACAAAGCAGTTGATCCCGAGCGGGCTAGATAGCCCTGCCTTGCCCGTTTGGATAGCCAATCAGATTATAGCAGGATTCGCTTCACCTTGCCACTCATAATAATAATAATAATAATAATAATAATAATAATAACGTCTTTATTAAAAAGCATCCGATAAAATTACATATCTGATGTTACAATACATATTGACAGAAAAAGAATTACAATGATCAAGATGAGAAAAAAAAAAAAAGAAAAAAAAAGATTAAATTGATTAAAAATACATATGGGGTATTTACACAGCTAGATTATATTTAAAAATCAATCTATTAAAAAAGCTATCTTTGAAACGTTCAGTGTTAATGCTGGGCCTAACAATGGATTTCCTACGAAGGTTTACAATACAGTCTTTGAACCTTGGGAGCAAGCTATTTAATGGATGGTCATCGCGTTTGAGGTTATAAAAAAGGCGTCTGTCGCTTTTCTCCAGAAGTTCATATATGTTGTAATTAACCGACGTATAACTCCTCTTATAGCATCTTTTTAAAACCTTTGTATAACAGTAAGTCATAAGTCGCGGAACAAGCGATGCAATTTAAAAAAAAAAGATCATATATTTCAAACTGCCAAATACGACGACTTTAAGAATTTGGTATAAGCTTACAAATAGAGTTGCATGGTAATCACTTAAATAAGAAATCGTGTAAAAATGTCTCAAGATCACTATTTTTAACTGCATTTACATATTTTAAAAGTAAAATGACGTGCTGAAATACACAAAGCGTTTGTTTTTATACATTGTATCCATGCGGTTAATTAGTCACGTTTTAAAACTTAAACTTCCTGTTTTTGTATTTAAAGTCCCAAACAATTCTTCTGGTACACTGCATTTCTGGATTTGAACGGTGACTTAAGTTAAAGAAAACCGCTTTACGCTTACTATCTGTGTTTAAAGAGACCACTGCACATACGCCTGCGAATACAGCCTCTTCTCATTGCTCCTTGCCTCGCAATTAAGCTGCCACTGCCTTCTATAAAATGCTCTTTGCTTTTAATCATGCACCGCTTCCCCGTTCTTTCAATGAACAAAACTAAAATGTCATGAACATCGTTACGTGAAATAACTATACGGAGAGGAAAATTTGCTTAAAGTCGTTGCTCAGAAATACACAAGAAAAATGACATTTATGTGTTAAAATACAGTATAATGTTTTTATCAACATATATTTATGGGATGACGGCACGTTTATTTTAAAACCTAGACTTCCTTTTCTTACAGTAAGCCGTCTCACATTTGTATTTGAATCTCAAACCATTCGGATGGTCCAACTGCGTTTCCCAAGATTTAAACCGAGTGGCGAGGAAAAGAAGGGCATAAGCGCCAAACTATAACATTAACTGACTGGTGAGGTATGTGTGAGATACTTTATTTTCACGTGTTTTATTTATGACAAAAGCGGTATTTTGTGGTGAACGGAGAAGTTTAAGTTCCTGAGGAAGACAACGAGGAAAATATGATCCTTTTTCCGATCTTTTCAGCTTTAGGTAGCACTATCTCAGAAAGGCGCAAAGACCTCGATAGTTTATTTAACGATTGCCTTTCAGGGATAGTTTTCTATGCTTAGAACATGTCTGATTCCATCTTTCATCAAAGAGTACAGGCCCTCGGGAATCCACATGCTTTGTAATGTTTTAAGTTGGCTAGACTGGATTTTTTAGGATTTTTTTGTGATATATGTTTCAGTGGCATGAGAGTTGTCATGTATCTTCCTTAGTTGCCTCGATTATGGCAAAGTTTGAACAAATTCTATGAGAGCATTTTGGAAATATTTCGAAACAAAATTTTAAGGGTCATAAAAACAGTAGCTAAACAGTGGATAAACATGCTATCGACATCATTGGCTAATTAATATGTAAAGGGAAAATGATGAGGTCTGGAAAAATGCAGTTTCATCTCATAGCGGTTTGATTCCATTTGAAATAGTGTATGAAAAACGGGGAGGATTGCTTCGGTCGATTGCGAGGAAGAAGAATTTAGTTAGCTTGCGTTTGGCTGCCTTTTCACCATTCTTGTGTGTAATTTGGTCTACTCCTACAAATTTCACGATCGTTTAAGAACCACTCACGACATTGAAAAAAAAATAATTAAGAATCCCAAGATCACCTTATCTCAGAAAGGCTGAAAGACGCAATAGTTTATTTAACAGTTGTCTTTCAGGGATAGTTTTCTATGCCTAGACACTTGTTGGATCCCTGTCATTGTTGAGATCGGATTTTATTTTCAGTTTGTTATTATCCGCTAGTTTAGATTGCAGACAATTCGCAGTTCTCAAGCGAAAAAAACTGATATCGCATTAATATGTATATGCTTCTTGGCAATTATTTATCATTTTTTTTTATCTCCATGGAAAGTGGCCTGACAGTATTGCTTAGTTTTGCCTAATATTATGCGTTATTGACCAAGTGTAAGCTTGTGATGACTTGGCAGTGGGGATTTGCCAAGTTCTTTCTTTGCTTTTTTGTGTTTTGAACCGGGGTTTTGATGATCATTCTTTAGAATCCAAAAAGAGCAAAATTATTGAATATCACAACAGGAGGGAATGGTTTTAGTATCATAGCACCACCTGTAAAGTTCAAACGTTCATTTCAATGGTCACGATTAACAGAGGATAACATCTAAAGTTAAAACAACCTCCTACGGTTCTAAGCTGTTTTGTTCTGGCTTTTTACAAGCGTGACCGAGGATTGAACTCGGGACTACCGAAAACAAGTCCAGCTGGCCAGTGGGGGGACCTTGTTACTACAAGTCTGCGGGCGCTCCTAATTGGTCTGCCTCGCTGCCTCCACCGTTAAAACCACCTTTTACTGCTACACCAATACTGTTACACCATTACCTTTTCATAATATGATTTGTTCTAAAGGAAAGTATCAATTTTTTTTTCACTGTGTCGGCCACTTTGTTCATCCACAAAAATGTTTCAACTTCTAAAGGATATATAAAGAATAAATTAAACTGCCACTTCCACAAAAATAAATAAATAAATAAATAAATAATATTGCTTTACAGATATTTGACAGTTTTCACCACTAGAAAAGGTTTTGATAATCACACTTTAGGATTCTATCACGGACTCCAAAGGTTAGACCAAAACTACAGCTGTATCAATAAAAGAAAAAAACAAACAAAGTCTATCTTAGTTTTAGTATAGTTAGTGCGAAGTTATAAATTCCATTTACCTTAAAGGTCCATCTGAATGTTCACAATTCAAGTTCAAACTAGCCAGTTGTTAGTACAGCCGCTCCCCTCCATCATACGCGATTAGCAACTCGGTGAGTCACAGACGCTCACGGTTCTCCAACTATAGACGGGCTAAGTCAAAAGAAACTCTTACAATCTGTAATAATCAACCAACTAAATGAAGAGTAATTTTTTTTTTTCACAGAGTGGGCCACTTTTTTCATCTAAAACTGAATAAATTTGCATAAGGTTGTGAAGAAAATTGACGCATTGACTTCCACATGTAAATCAGTGTTAAACAAAATTAATCTCCGAGATATTTTGACAATTTTCACAGCTTTAAAGAGTTTAAGTTATATCTGGAGTATTTTACAGCATGTTTGCGTTCATAATATGCAGATTATTCTTGTCGTTTAAGAAAGACATATCTTTTTTTTGATATCTCCGCTGGAAAATTGCCTAATAACTGATGGATATTCCCTTAGTGTTGCCAATGTATTTATACGTTCTTGACTAAGTGACGGAGCAACATCACTGGTGATTGGGCGTGTTCTTCTTTTAAGGCAGTAAAGGAACAAGGCTAATATTCAGCGATCTTGACCGAACTGGCTTGATCCCCAGCGGGCGTGAAAGGCCTGCCTTGCCAATCAGAACTAATACCCGGCAGGATTCGCTTCTGAACCCTTCATGTCACTCATAAGTCCCTGAGCAAGTGATATAATAAAAAAAGAAAAAAAACAGATCCTATATTTGACACTGACGAAGGGGGGAGGGGTCCAACAAATATGATGACTTTTATACTTTGGTATAGGTCGACTACAAAGAGAGTTGCATGGTAATTGCTCAATTAAGAAATCGTGTAAAAATATCTCAAGATCACTATTCAACTTAACTGCGAGTTAAATGAGAAAAATGACGTTTATACAAGTGCTGATGAAATACACGAGACGTTTTTTTATTAACATTGTTTTCATGGGATAAGTCACGTTTCAAAACTTGAGCTTCCTGTCCTAAACTTTTCTTCTGGTCCATTTCTCAAGATTTAAACACTGACTTAAAAGTTAAAGTTACAAAACCGCTTAATGCTATGTGTCTTTAAAGAGACCATTGCACATAAGCCTGCGAATACTACCGCTCTTCATTGCTCCTTGCCTCGCAATCAACCTGCCACCTTCTTTAAAATGTTCTTTGTTTTTAATCATAAAGTGCCCTGTTCTTTCAATATACAAAACTGAAATGTCATGAACATGACGTTACCTGGAACTGATAACTATACAGAGAAGAAAATTTGCTTTAAAGCCCGTTGCTTAGAGTTAAGGAAGAAAAATGACATTTACGTGCTAAAATACAACATGTTTTTATCAACATATATTTATGGGATTAGTCACGTTTATTTCAAAAGCTAGACTTACTTTTCTTATACTAAGCCAAATTTTGTGTCACTGCATTTGTATTTAAAGACCCAGAGGCTGTTCGGGTGGTCCAACTGGGTTTCTCTGCAAGATTTAAACAGTGACCGCGAGTAAAAGAAAGGCACAAGCCGGCCAATCTGTCACATAAACGGACTGGTGAGGTATGTAGAAGCCTTATTTTAACGCGTTTTATTTATAACAAAAGCGGTGCTTTGTGGTGAACGGAGAAGTCTACAATAAGTCACTGAGGAAGTGAACGAGGAAAATAATGTTGTGTAGTTCATTGTTTGATTTTTTCAGCTTAGGTACCACCATTTCAGAAAGGCTCAAACACCCATTAGTTTGTTTAACAGCTTCCTTTCAGTGATACTTTTCTATGCTTAGAACATGTTTGATCCTATTTCATCAAAGAGGACAGATTCTCCCGCGGGAATTCACGTGCTTTATTGCTTTAAGTTGGCTAGACTGGATTTTTTTTTGGCGGATACCTCTTTTAAAGTTTGAGTATTTACCACGTCGGCAATAACAAAGAAAAGATATAGGAACTGAAGTTACCACAGCCCTACTATAAAAAGATGAAAATTTGTTGTGATCTTTGTTTCATTGACATGGGAGTTGTCATGTACCTCCCTTAGTTGCCTCGATTATAGCAAAGTTTGAACAAATGCTATGAGAGCATTTTGGAAATATTTTGAACGAAGTTTTAAGGGTCATAAAAACACTGGATAAACATGCTATCGACTTCACTGGCTAAAATGTAAAGGAAACAATGATGAGATCTGGAAATGCAGTTTCTTCTCATAGTGGTTTGATTTCATTTGAAACAGTGTACGAAAAAAGAGGGGGATTAATTTGCTTTGGATCCGCTGATTGCGAGGAAGAGGAATTTGATTGGCGTGCGTTCGGCTGCTTCAAATTTATTTACTATTCTTGTATGTAATTTGGTCCACGCCTACTAATTTCGCAATAATTTAAGAACCACTTGATATTTAAAAAAAAAGCAATTGAAATAATTATTAAGAATCCCGAGATTAGATATCAGCTTATATTGCCTCCAAGTTTCAAGTACACTGAAATCAAGGAAGGCCATTAAATGGGCTTCAAATGTCATATTTTCCCCCAGATGTTGTGTCCATAAGTGAGCGCCCTGTTAGATCATCAAAATACTTGTAATTTGATCAAATATGAAGCAATGTAAAAAAAATAACACACAAACTGCGGTTACAAAAATCAGAAATAACAAAGGCATTATATAACTGACTTTTATAATATCGATCTTGACGTTTCGTATGCTTCAACATACATCTTCATAAGTGACCGTTGGTCGTCCTGATGGTCGTACATTTTAGGAACGTTTTCATTGTTGCTGAATACCGTAAAAACCCGCAACTAAGAACCTGCATTTTTCCAAGTTGGCCTAAACAGGTTCTTACAGAAAAGGCAATTAGCACAAATTAAGGCTATTTAGGTTCTTAAATAGGTTCTTGATATTTTCTTTAAAAGAGAATATTTAGTAGTATAATTTCAGCTTATTCCCTAATAAAATCTGCATTACCATTACATTCAGCTGTACATTGCAGTTGGACGGATAATTCTTCAAAGAGGATCCTGAATGCTGACTTATCATATTTGCTCAATCTTACCCTAATTTTCTTTTTTTTATAGATTTTAGAAAATAAGAACCTGTTTCAAATTTTGGGCTTAACAGTTTCTTGTGTAGTGGGGGCCTAACTGGCAAATTTTAGCCTAACAGGTTCTTAAAACTGAACAAAGTTCTTTAGTGGCGGGTTCTTACTGTATCCCACTACAGTTTATACATGAAATTTTCTCATTCTAAAACTGAATTCCTAACAGCATCTTTTAACACTACTGAGGAAGCGATGGAGACTGTCGAAACAGGAACAGCTGAAAACTATAATAAATAGATTTGTTTTATGTTTTAAATGTTTCGAACACATCCCCTTCGATATGATCAAGTTTTTATTTTTTGTATAATATCATTTTTTTTTTACCCAAAACAAGCAAACAAGTGTTTCATTGTAGGACACAGGATGCGGAATTCGCTGGAAACTCAAAAGTTGTCGACAGAGAAATCGTATGACTCGTACTTCACTTGCGGTACAATCATTAAAGTGTGTGTCATGTATAGTTTTCCGCGAGGATCGTTAACGGCTATCTTACTTGGGGATTGAAATCACCATTAATATAACTGACGCCAGATATCAAAGAAGCCATCAAGGGCAATGAAAATTACGGATATGATCATCTGGGCCTGTTAAGTCTTCCTCAGTTTTTTATCGATTTGTTTCTTCCATTCAGTAAAGGTTATCTTCGTCATTAGTGAGTCAGCAAGAACACAATGGCCAACACTGAATAAAAACAAAATTCCAAGAATATTCTTTGACTGGAAACTCCATGAAAGAAAATAGTGGACAGCTAACAGTCAGTGAAGTTTAGCTCAGTTCTTCGTCACCATTTAAACGCGCAGTCTATTCGCTTTCAGTCCGGCAGCCGGGTAAATTCTTCAATACAGAGCACATAAGGGAGGAAACTCTATATAAGGACATATTTTTATAGACATGTATGTCTCGTAATTTATGATTTGACTTGTCTTAGCAAACTTTAAAGAGTTACTGCTGACTGAATTTGTTCATACTGGATTCACTTGAAGTTTACCTCCAACTTGAGTTATGGATGCTGTCGGGGGAAGTTGTATTTATTAGCTTTATCATTAAAATTCTAATTACACTTAACTTGTGAAATAGATAGCAGATACTACTTCACAGTATTACACTCTAATTTCATTACTTTCCCTTGTTTAATCGGAAACTATTGATCTCGAGATACTGCTTTACGGATTATACATAAAATCACTCTTTGCGATTAAGCTATCTCGATTAGCAACCACATAGTCAAGTTTCTTTTTTCCTGTAAATGTAAAGTCTGATATCACTGATTTCGGGCTTTAAGCTGGGTCTTCAAACCACCCTTCTTTTACTGAAGCACAAAATGCTGAAGCAAAATGAAGCAAAATTTATGCCTTTCGGGAGCGACTACACAGGAAATAGGGCCATGTACGAGGCCACTAGTACGGCTGTGGATAGAAATTAAGAACGATGAAGGAGTTATTTTTGGTGACTGTCAGCGAGCTTTTGTTGTGGCTCGTCTACTCAGCAGTGGAACTGAGGACTTGTTTGTTGTTTGTATACTGCGAAAAAACAAATGAGCGAAACGAACCGCTCGATGCCTGATGACGTGTGCAAGTGGCCCTGCATTCTGTCAGTGAATTTAAGCCGAATTTCGAATTCACAAGCATAGAAAGCATAGAAGTAAAGCTACGAAAGATGACAGATTTTTACTTGGAATAAAGAGTTTAACAGTAGTTCTTCCAATTTAACTAAAACAGTATCGAAATTCAGTTGAGAATCACGTTGGGCCCAAAATAACAGAAAAAATATCTCTGCGTAGGAGCTTATTGATTTAGATTTATCAGTTCATTGAAAGCACTGAGTCGTATATTGTTATCTTAAAGTGTGTTCACGGCACAACTGACTGGAAAGGTCTCAGTGAAGGAGATCAGTGAGGGTGGTCTTAACGTGACGGTAGTTAAGGAGCGATGACCGGGTATATGATTCTCCCTAACAAAGCAATTGAAATTCGTTACTTTAATACATCGCTCGCCTTTCAGTTTGGAGAAAGACTTAGTTTTTTGAAACAGAATAATGTTGAAATTCTAAGACTGAAAACGACCATGATCCTGAAAAACGTGCCTCGCTCACGAGGAGGGAGCTGAAGGAGCAAAGGATGAGTACGAAAAGGATCTTCAGTATAATAGTTAGTTTTATACCAGCTGATGCCATTTAAACTCAGAAACCTCTGAGTATATACCTAACAGGAACGTAAAATCAGTGAGTAGCACGTTACGATTCCCAAATGAAAAATATCTGAATTTTCTTTAACATTGTCCTGAAATAAACAACAAATAAGCGAGCAAACCCTGAACTATTAGTCAAGATATAAGTACAGTCGACTCCCGATAACTTGAACCTTCAAGGGAAATCGAAAAGTGTTCGGGAGCTCGAAGAAAATAGCGGGAAGTAAGGAAAAAACCAGTTTTTATTTCACTGTGAACATTTTAATCACATTTAATTGTATGAAGGTTAAGTGACAATTGAAAGATACTTCTTGATTATAAATCAGAACGTAACGTAACAAAACATTGCCTAAATAGAGCATGCAATTTACTGTTTTGAGAAGTAAAGCTGTTTCACGTTAGATTTGTGACAACATCAGCCTCAACTAGTAAACTTTATGCCTACAACACGTCAATGGGAAATTCAAAAGTACACTTATATAGAAATGATCAGGGAAACAAAAATTACTTCGAGTTAGCGGAAAGTTCGAGTTATCGAGGGTAAAATTACAGTAAATGTATGACGGAAATTCAGGGGAAATCAGTTTTGGTTCGAGTTAGCGCGAGGTTCGAATTTGCGCGTTCGAGTTATCGGGAGTCAAATGTATGAAGCGTTCATTGTTGTAGACTGAACCCGTACTTTTTTTCAATTACAATATATTGATCTCACGCTTAAGTCTTTCTGAAACTGAACGTGGGACGAAACGTTTTTTCAGTAGCTTTGCTTATGAACATCTGAATGCAGAATAAGAAAGTACTGCGCAAGCTGAAATTTTATTCAACTCAAGTTTCAATTCAGTAAGAAAGTGTTGTTATGATTTCCACGATTGGTCGAATATTTGAATGAGGCTTAAATAATTGAGCATCTTGTCGCGATACCTCACTTCCCTTTCCATGGCATTATTTGTCTCAGACTGGTAAAACTAAAATCCTAACAGTTTCATTAATTTTTAACACTAATAATAAAGCGAATTCACCCGAAACACTAGCAAAAAAAACAGCTAAAAACTAATGAGTAGTATAGATTTGTTTTAGGAGCGGATCGATCTTATTTGACCACGGTTGGTTGATAAGTTTTAGTAATTTTCAGAGGGGGGCGTAAGGGTTTGCGGTGATGCGGTGTTGCTCGATTTTTGGTGAGGTTTTGCGGGAAGTTTTATTTTTAAGATGCTGTAATGCGGTTAAAACCTAGCGGCTTGCGGTATTTAGACATTGCCAAATTTCAATGCGGTTTGCGGTTTTATTCTGTGCGGTGTTTTATATACCGGTATTTCTGTGCGGTTTTGCGGTTTTGTTATGTTATTCTGTACGGTGTTTGGTGTTTATATACCGGTATTTCTGAGCGGTTTTGCGATGTTCGTACCCTCCTTACCCCCCTCTTTTTAGACTTTTGTCTGATTTGAAATCCTATTACATGCATGTAAAGGTATCGTGTAAAGGTATCGATACTGAAGCCGATCTTAGTGTTTTAATCTATGCCACCCTTATTTCAAGCACATAAAATGTCACGTCAATGTTGAAACAAACAGGTCTCCGGAAGCTTTCCGAATTACGGTGAACAGCTGAGAGTGGTGTTGAAAGTGACGATAAATAAATTGACTAGAGAAGATCAGCACATGATTATGATTTTAATTACTATACTGTGTAACGCAACTGAAATGGCAGAATACTAAAACCATTAATTCACTCTGTAGTACATCAGACTTATCATTGGCAAAATGAGATTGCTGCACACATGAATTGAGGTGACTGGATCGTAAATAAGAAGATAGCGTTCAAGTCTTTCTAACATGACGTCCCCGGCGTGACGTGCTTGCCGGACGGGCCCAAACGGTCCTAGCCTGTTCCAGGCTCCGAGATAGTGGTGAAAAGTCGTTCGCCCCCTTTCCCAAGTCGCGCGCGTCTTATTTTGGCTTTGCTCGTTTAATACGTCCCCACTATACTATCTGAGAGCCTGGCACAGGCTAAAACGGTCCTGGTGATGAAATTCACAGCTAACAGTTTAAGTAAAGAGACACTTGGTGTTTTTTGTCAAAACATACTGCGTTGATTTTTTGTTTTTTTGAAAACTTAGCTGTATATTAGCCTGCGAAAACATCCGTTTCTCCTCACTGTTCGCCGATGGGGACGTTTCGCGCGGAGGAAACGTCCCCATCGGCGAACAGTGAGGAGAAACGGATGTTTTCGCAGGCTAGCTGTATATACAGTCGACTCCCGATAACTCGAACCTTCAAGGGAAATCAAAAAAAAGGTTCGAGTTATCGGGAGTTCGAGTTACCGGGAGTTCGAAGAAAATAGCCGAGAGTAAGGTAAAAAACAGTTTTTACTGCACAGTGAACATTTTAATCACATTTAATTGTAGAAATTTCAAGTGAAAATTAAAAGATACTTTTAGATTATAAATCAGAACGTAACGCAACAAAACATAGCCTAAATAGAGCATGCGTTTTACTATTTTGAGAAGAAAAGCTGCTTCACGTTTGCCTGGGACAATCAACATTAGCCCCCACCAGTAAACTATACTCCCACAACACGTCAATAGGAAAACCAAAATTCAATGTTTCGGTCGCCAGTAGACGGCTTTTTTCCCGACTTTTTAAGGGCTCAAAACAAGGTTCGAGTGATCGAGGGTAAAATTATATAGAAAATGACCTGAAGGAAAACGAAAATTGGTTCGAGTTAGCGGGAGTTCGAGTTATCGAGGGTTGGAATTACCGAGGGTAAAATTACAGTGAATGTATGACGGAAATCCAGGGTAAATCGATTTTGGTTCAGTTAGCGCGAGGTTCGAGTTAGCGAGGGTTCGAGTTATTGGGAGTCAACTGTAGTTAGAGAACACAGTCCATCAACAACCCGTGAACGGTAGACCTTCTATTAATTTTCTTCTCTAAAGTATTAGACAATCATTTTCTCCTCTTTTTTACTAAGTTCTTAAAATTTTTCTAGGAATTTTTCCTTTTTTTTTTACTGATAACCTCGCGTGTATTTCTTTATCTACAGTCAGCCGGGTTGAACTGAACGGCTAAGGAGATACCAGTGCAGACCGAGATCTTCGTTAACGGGAGTACTCAACATGTCTTCACTAATAACAGCTGTATTTAAAGCCACTATCGGCATGTTGGTGAATAAAGGAAGAGATAAACTGGCAGAAAAGTTGAATGAGGGTGATGTTACAGATCAGAAATTCCGTGGCCTGATCGTCCGTGAAATCGATGAAATAAAATCGAAGTTGGATGGTTTAGCAAGAACGCCTTTGAAGACAAGTATGAGCCTTTTTAAAGAAGGAATCGAGTTGTTGTATGAAGTGTTTGAAAGTGCCAGACCCAGTAGCGAGAATCGCGCGATAGAAGCCGCTGCAACAGCTTGTGTTGAGCCATTCGATATTGCTAAAGAAATGAGGAAATTACAGCTTACTGCCTTGGATGAGTCCGCCATGAGGAAGCTTAGCAGAGCAATGGAGACATTTGGTGAAGCTCGATTGGAAGCAGTAAAAGCTTTTAGTAATGAAGCTTTGGAATTACCTGATCGCCTGTTAGCTATGCAATATCGACTGATGGCTACGATACTGAGGAATATTGACAATCCTACGGACGCATTAGCGGCTTGTAGAGTCTGCCTTGACGAGTTACACCAAGTGCCAGCTGTTAAAGAATATTTCAAAGTTGAGTTGGAGGAAGGATTGAGATTGAGGGCTCGCTTTAATAAAGACGAAAGAAGGCAAATAATTTTTTCTGTCTGTCACGCTAATCGTGTGATCTATGATGTAATGAGCATGCTCGGTAGTGTAAAAAGGTGGACTTTGCCTGATGTTGAAACTGGGAAAGAGAAAGTGGATCCACTCCGCAACGAAAGAGTTGTTAAAATACTGACAAAACAAGGTAAGGAGCACTGCTGTGTTACACCATGGTCATTTGGTCAGGAGGGTGAAGAGGAGCACAAGCTGAAGAATCCGTGGGGTATCGCTACAAACCATAGAGGACAATTCCTGATAGCAGACAATGGGGATAAAACCGTGAAGGTGTTTGATAGCAACGGAAAGTTTCATTTTAGGTTTAATCCTCAAACTGATGACGCCTATACAGAGTTAGATATTTTGGATGTCGCCACTGCAGGCGAGGACGACAGGATTTATGTTCTGGTCAGACTGAAGAAGCCTGGGGCTGAGAAATGGAAGAAGGAAGTGCAGGTTTTTAACAAGACTGGTGACCTACAACACAAGTTTCCTGTGAGGAGAGAGGGCTGGAGACTAACAGTGAACAAACAACGCGGCAAAATTCTGCTGATGTCACGTCACGTTGTTGATGTTTACCAGGAGGCGAGTGGCGAGTTCGTTTGTAGCTTTGGTGGAGGAGTGTTCGAGTGTGCAGTAGATATCACTGCTACTTGTGATGGTCGCGTCATGATAGTGGACCGAGGCGATTACAGTTTGTACATATTTGATGTGGAGGGACACCAGCTTGGCAAATTTAATATCAAACATGAGAGAGATGTCTATTATCGCATTGCATGTCAGCCGGCAAGTGCAGACCATGTTGTCCTTGCTGGTTATGAAGGAAAGACACGCCGCCTGACGCTGGCTATATACACTGTTAATGGCGAATTTGTTCGCAGAATTCAGCTGGATGAAAAAGTGCAAGAAACTGTATTTGAACCTGTATGTGGAATAACAGTGACCGTGGAGGGTCACATTGCTCTGGCTTTACGGGCTATTACAGACGAGGGTATAATGAAAAAGGTAATTGTTGTTTAAAACTAAAAAATTCGAAGACACAAGTCAACAGTCCTTATTTTACTTTCATGAATAAATGTCATCAAGGCAGATAATTAAATTTAATGCTGCAGTTGACTGGAATCACTGGACATGACTGCATTAAGCCACATACACTGGCTTAAGTTCACTGATGTTTGTAGTAAATCTTGTGTTATCGCTCTAACTAAGAAACCAAAACAGGTAGAATGACTGCGATACATGTACAGTAAACACTCGCTAATAAGAACCTAACTTAAATTTTTTTTGAGGTCTGGCAAAAAAGAGTAACTAAGGCTAAGTACAACTGTAGGTTCTTAATTAGGTTTTTAATTTCTGTGAAGGAGATGAACGTAACAGGGTGTCCCAAAAGTTTGTTCGTCTAATTTCATGCTCAGTATTAACTATTGATCAAAACTTTATTTTTACATGAAATTTCTAAAAGATGTTTATTGCTCTATCAAGTACATGATTGTATTCAGAAGTTCAGTAAGCTGCAGGTCCCCTTTTTTTTCTTATCACATTCTGTAGCCATTGCGCATGGCATAGAGTGGGATAAGTCATCATAGCGTCTAGAGCCCCATATGAGCCACTTTTAGCTTTTTCATCACCTGGTACACAGGAGCCACTTTGACCCCCAAACAATATCATTTTTTTAGATTAGGCAGCCAAAAAAATATTTTAAGCTTTTATGTAAACAAAATATAATCATCCCGGCCGCTCTCTGCAGTAAGGTTTTTTTACTTCTTTGCCAAGGAGACTAGCTGAACGTTGCTTGGTGGACTGAGCAAGGTTTTTTTTTGCCATCTCACAGGCCTCCAACCGTCTCTTTCCAGGAAACTGCCCCAGACTTAGCTTGCTAACTGTTGTGAGAGCCGCCTCGTTGAGTTTCCTTTTCTTTTTGCCCAGCCTATTTTAGAACTATTTTAGCTGCTTTATTCAGGACTTTATGTTCTCCAGCAGGTTCTTAAACCACAGTTTCTTATTAGTGAGTGGGTGTTTACTGTAAGTACAGTAGCATTCTTTTGTTTCTTTAACAATTGGTGGTATAATAATATTTTTGTTTGTGCAGAATTGAAAATAATACAATCCAGATTCAGTTGGTTTACAAAAACATCCTCATCATTTACCAGCTTCTCTATAACTCTTTTTGTTAAAGATTCAGGTTTTTAAGTTTGAAATGCTCTACATTGTAACTCAATCGCATGCCACATCAAAATACACCTTTGAAATCTTCTCCAGGAAAAATATTTTATGATGCTCTCTAATTAAAATATTAAGCTTGACTCCGGCTTTTAATGTTAGTATACAGCTGTAGGTGAAACTCTGCAGCAATCACCTTAAAGATGGAGATCTCTAAGTGTTTATTATGGGGAGATAGGCATATAAAGCCTTGTTTCCATATGATCATCCCGATCACCCCAGTCGTTTAAAAAAGTTTTGAGATGATCCAGACAACTGAGACGATAGGTGGTTTCCATGTGATTGTACGGGAGCCTCAACGACAAGAGACACGGGGTGTCATCAGCGATGTCTCTGAGTCAGACAATAGAATTTTTGTGTGGGTTTCACAAACAAGCCAAACATACCTGTAATGATGGATTTTAAATGGTGAGCAAATCTCGAGCTATGCTATCTTCTTTTTCTCTCTATTTTGTGGTGTCAACAAACTAGAAGTCAGTTCCACAAAGATATTGTATCACGTATAGAACTTGATGAAACAGACTTTCTCTTTAATTCAAATAGCACCCATACGTGACGTGAACATTTTAAATTATTTTTGACTTCAGCGGCATCCAGGTCGAATATATTCTCAATTAATGGAATGATAGTGATGATTTCTGGGATAGCCTTTGATTGTCCTGATAGTCTCAGTCATCTCAGAGCATTTCCAGATCACTTCAAAATTTACACGATGCTCCCAATCGTCCGCATAGAACTCAACTCTATTCACGCGATCGATAGAGGTCATCTCAGTCATCCAGGTCACTTGCGATCGTCTGGGTAGGGTTTTCATATGATTGTCCCGATCATCTGAACATTATTTGACGCATCTGGGACAATCACAGCACAGCCAAAATGTGTCAATGACAGTGTTATCATGGACAGACATAATCAGGGAAAATCTATACTATAAATAGTTATACATATAATTATAAAAGAAATGTGACTTTTCTTGGCCAGAGGAAAATCAGGAAAAGTTTGCAAGTGGTCCGGAAAAGGCAGTTAATGTGAAGGTCTGTGAAAAGTCAGCCGCAAGTTTATTTTCTGGTAAAAAGTTTTCAGAAAACGCAGTGAAAATCATTTTAAAAAAGTCAAAAACGAAGAGTAGAGTAATATTGATTTTTTTGGGGGGGAAATTTTTTTATAAGTTTCTGCTGCTGAATTAATAAACTCTATATGAACAACAAGCAAACAAAACCTCAGGAAAAAAAAGTTGTTTACGGAGCAAAACAAAGCAAATAAGGTGTTGACTGAGATCTAGAGTTTATACTTCAAGTTGTTTTTTGCATATTAACTTGAAAAGAAGCTATGACATCATTGCCTATAACATTAAAATGCTGTAAAATTAATATTAATGGCCTTGTGCCCAAATCTTAATCAGCTAACAAGGTCATTATTTAACCACTGCTAGGATTTTGTTGCATGATAAATATGTGGAAAAAATGAAAAATATTAATGTAAACATGCCTATTAGTCTGTTATTCAATAAAGTTATAAGCAATAGATGTTTATTATTAATTGGATAAACCTAGCCTGGTCATGTCCAGTGAAGCCAACCAACTGTATACATGTAGGAAAATGCAAAACTTTGCCTTTGATGACATTCATCACGAAAAAATCTGCACTGTTCACTTACTGTTGTGTCTTCGAGTTTATTAGTTTTTAACAACAATTAAATATAATGAAAGGGTGTGTGGAAAAAAATTCGTAACTTTTTTTTAGATTTTTTACAAAAATGCAGGCCAGTATTTTTAGGTTTTCATGCCTGTGATTTGACAATCTGCAATTTTTATTAACGTTTATTATATAGACACGAGTGTTTTACTGGAAAATATACCACTCGTAAAATTCATAAAAACTACATCCGGGACCCGAGTGGTTTATTTTCCATAATCTCACACGTGAGTTTATCGATGACGTAATGTTGGTAATTTCCGTCTATTATTTTATCAATGTCTTTTTGTCTATATAATGAAAAGAACATTACACTGCGGCTTGAAGATATGAATTTTATTTTCTCATGGCAAAAACAATATTTTACGAACGAGCGCATTATCTTCGCGCCACCGTGTAATATCCTCTATATAACACTAAAGAATCTATGCAATTTGTTTTGGGACACAAATTTTCAATATCGAGATTAACATAATCAAGAAGCCAAATACGAAGGTCTAAATTCCTTGTTGAGCAAGACAACAAGAAAATGGCAGGGTGATTTTATTGAATAGCTCGACGTTAGTTTATACAAGTGCCAAACTTTCCAATTACTTTTTAGGGGCAGTGTCATCAAGGTTTTGTGCTACGTACTTCAAAATCCAACAAATGCATTATTTTGTATCATTAAGAAAATCCACCGATTCACTATTTTCACATAGACCATAATGCACCTTGTTTGCCCCCAAAATTTTGCATAAACATTCTTTTCAATATTCAATATTTCTCTTGAGATATATGACTGTAATATCCAGGAGAAACTGAAAACAAAATGCAAAATTTTCGGGGTAAACAAGGTGCATGGTCTATGTGAAAATGGTGAATATAGTAACCTTAATGGCCTCTCTAGGCATCATTAAAAAGAGAGTTTACGCCATAAGAAAACTTAAGTGCATGGACAATTCCTTAAAAAAGTTGGACCGATCCGTTTTCAAGTTTGCTGGAGTTACATCAATAATTGGAAAATCTTTTCAAAACCATTAAAAAGATATTGTTATTATTATAGTTCACTTGCGCTTTTCAGAATGATTCGATGTCTTTCTCATCATTCAAATGTCATTTTGTGTAACTCTATATAGGGTTCTAAATGGGCCTTATAGCAAAGTATGTGATTTCTCTGCCGGAGTATATGTGTATTTTGCACAAAACAGTCAGAGTTGGTTATTAAAACAGAGCCTTACTGATAGAATGAGGTTTAAAAAAATGTCTGGGCCCCCAAAATAGATATTAAATGATCTTTTCAGCCTAGCCTGGAAGGCTTTTTGATGCTCTTAACAACAAACAATGTTTTCTAGATATGGCCAGTAAGGATGGTAAAATAATTGAAAAATGACTTAGAATGCGCAAGTTCTGTTAAACACCACCTAAACTTTGTTTTAATAACCAGCCTTTAGTTTCAATTTCTAGATTCACAATTACCTAAAAATTTTAGAGTCTACATTGTGCCCAAAGCAAAGTGGCCTTTAAGGGAACAGGTCGTAAGTTGGTTTTTGTGTCCAGATTATGCAAACTTTGGACCACAAATTATGAGTTAAAGTTGCCTTTGTGTGTTTAACAGAAAGCTACATGTACATAAATGGAGTTAATATTTCTTATCTCTTAATTAGTGTTAGCCCTTTGTAGGTTTATAAATGGAAAGCTTTGTAAATATGCCACGTTATTAATACTGCTCAAGCGTAAGTAGGTCAAGATGGCTGGAATTGTTAGGGGTTTCAATGTTTTAATGAAACAATACAAAGTTTGTGATCAACAAGTTCTTTAACGTACGTAGACTAGCTGGCGGTTTCATTTGGGGTGTCTAAGAGACATCTCTCACTTTACAAACTACAAACGAAAACAACACCCTGCACACAGCAAACAAACCGCCAGCTGCAGTGCGGGCTACAAGTTCTTGGAAACTCAGTGTTTTGTTGCAAGTTTTCCTTGGTTGAAAGTTTTTTTCTTTCTTAAATAAAATGAACCAAGGATGAAAATGAATTTCTACATAGGCATACCGATAATTTAAGACA